GCAGCAGCGGTTGTTAAATCAGGTAGTATTGATTCGTATTGTGAGTATGCAATAGTGTATGTATTAAAGTAGAACGATCGCGAAGAATACAAATATGTGTATGCAAAATAGCAAATCCGAAAGTAAGAAAAAGAGAACTATTGATGTTTGATAGAATGTAAATAAGACAACATTTTTTGCGATACAATTTCCTTTATCCTTTAGCAAGCCTAGTAGGAAATATTGTCAAACGTTTGTTTTGAAACTCATTTTCATAATATGATTCAAATACAAAATTTTTCATGATTCAAACTAATACAAGGGCGATATGAACTAAAAAAATATCATTGTAAAGAGCAAAAATATTGTTAGTGTTAAGATTTTAGTGTTATATAAATACGATAAATTTTTGTAACCGGCGCCTAGGGCCAACTTTGTTCAGAATATCTAAGACAAGTTATTCAAAATGGACATTCAAACGATAAAAAGTTCGACAGTAGCAGTGTTGTAAGAGAAGCTTAGGGAGCTAGGATTAGCTACGGACGGTAAAAAGACAGATTTACAGTTACGTTTGATCCAATATTTTGATCTTGCTGATGACGAAGTTAGCGACGGGCTCACGTAATAGAAACGTTTCACGGTTTACCCTTAGAGGCATCGAAAACAGTGTATCATCTTTCACGGGTACAGACTTGCTCGACATTAATCAGTGTCTTCCGCAGAGATACGTAATCTTTTAAGAAACCGCCGCAAAAAAGTAAGTGAATCATTTTTAGAGTATATGTACTGCATAATTGAGATAGGAAAGCCTATCAAATAGGACGACGAAAGTGTAATCGATTACTTCGTTAACGGTATACCTGAGTCTAAAATTAACAAGTCAATGCTATATGAAGCTAAAGATGTGAGTGAACTAAAAAGACATTAAGATTTATGAAAAGATTACCCCTACCAGAATTCCGCCGTCAGAAACGAAACGAGTTGACGCAAACCGAATGTTAGTTCAGGTGAAGCTAAAAAATGTTTTAAGTGCGGAGACGCATCTCATTTTGCAAAAAACTGCCCAGGTAAACAGTACCGCTGTTATAAGTGCAACGAGATTTGATATCGATCTTTCGAGTGCAAACAGACTTCGTCCCCTTCCTTCGGAAGACGCGAAAACAATCATTGAGAGCCTTAAGCGTTAAAGCGAGCTTCTGGGACAAGTGCCAGTTTTTAAAAAGAAAGGTTTAATTTTTGGGTTATCTGATAGAGAATGGCACGATTAGGCCATCGGAAGAGAAAGTACGAGCGGTTACCAATTTCCCAATGCCAAGTAACGTTAAATCGGTACAACGCTTCCTAGGGTTAACTCCCTACTTTAGACGATTCGTGTCTGATTACGCAGCTAAGGCTAGGCCGCTTACTGATTCATTGAGGAAGAATGTCAAGTTTAAGGTGGGCGAGGAACAATACTTATCCGTTGAACAACTAAAAGCAGCTTTAGTAAGTGCCCCAGTACTTAAATTATACGATCCACGAGCGGTGACAGAAATACATACCGACGCGTGCATGTATGGGTATGGCGCAGTTTCGCTGCAGAAAGATTCTTATGACCAGCAATACCACCCAGTTCAATACATGAGCCGTCGAACCAGTCAACAGCAAGAAAAATACCATTCCTATGAACTCGAAGTTCTTGCAATTATCGAAGCACTCAAAAAATTGCGCATTTATTTGACGGGGATAAAATTCAAAATTATAACTGATTGTAACGCTTTTACCCAAACTATGCAGAAGAGTGAAGTTACGTTTAGGGTTTCAAGGTGGGCCATTTCCCTCCAAGATTTTGATTTCACAATTGAACACCGCTCTGGAACGAAAATGAAGCATGCCGACGCACTGAGTCGTGTAGCCTGTTTGTTATTGGAAGATTCTATGAGACATCGGATGAGAGAATCCCAGATGAATGACGAGTGGATTAAAGCAAAACGTAAGGTGCTCGGGAAGGAACAGTATTTAGACTTTTTCGTAAAGTACGATTTATTATTCAAAGACCCTGTGTTAGAATTTTTGGTGGTTCCATCTGCGATGGAAGATGAGATTATTAAAATCGCGCATAGCAAAGATTATTTTGGGGCGAAGAAAATTCAAGAATGCTTAGAAAAGGAGTTCTATATTCCACAATTACGTACAAAAGTAGACAGAGTAGTTCGGAATTGCGTTGAGTGCATCATCACTGACAGCAAGGTAGGAAAAAAGGAAGGTTTTCTCACGCCGATTGATAAAGAAGATGCACCGCTAGGAGCTTTCCATATAGACCATGTGGGGCCTATGGAATTAACCGCCAAAAGATACAAACATATCTTGGTTATTGTTGACGGATTTTCCAAATTTGTGTAATTGTACCCAGTAAGGTCAACTGACACTGCATCAGTCATTGATAGTTTGGAAAAATTCGCGTAGGATTTTCGTAATCCGAAAAGAATTATTTCTGATAGGGGGTGGCTTTTATATCAGAGGCGTTTAAAGAGTATTGCAAGTCACATTTTATTCAGCATTTGGTAATAGATACGGACGTACCACGGGGTAATGGGCAGGTGGAGCGCATCCACAAAATTTTAGTTCCTATGTTAGCGAAGTTGTGCAAAGATAATCCAACCTAGTGGTATAAACATGTAGGTCGCGTTCAGCAAATTATCAATAATACCCCTCCCAGAAGTACCAAATTCGCACCGTTCAAAATACTTACGGGATTGGACATGCGTATTTCAGACGACCTAGGGTTAAATGAGTTACTAAAAGAAGCTCCAATTGCTGAAATACACACGGAGAGAAATGATTTGCGAAAACAAGCACAAAGAAATATACAAAAGATCCAACAAGAAAATTGTAAAACTTTTAACGCTAAAAGAAAGCCAGAGATAAAATACAAAATTGATGACCTCGTGGCGGTAAAAAGAACCCAATTCGAGGTACGGTTAAAGTTGAAACCCAAGTTTTTAGGACCTTATAAGGCAACCGCCGTTCTTCAACATGGTCGGTACCAGGTTAAGAAAGTTGGGGATCATGAGGGTCTAGGGGAGACCACTACAGTTGCAGAACACATGAAAATGTGGAAGAATTCATTCGGGGCGATTGAGTCATCAGGACGGCCGAATGTGGGATCAGTACCTAAAAGAGCGACTCGGTCTGGTAATACATACTAAAAGATTCAACCCTGCAGTGGTAATACACGCTCCGGAGAATAAAGCTCGTCAAAACACTCAATTAATTAAAACTAGATTATCAGGCAGGTTCTGGAATCCGAGTGAAAGTGAATATGAAAATGAATCTAAAACCGAGTGAATTTGATTTTGGTGTTCTGAAAACCGAATTTTTAGTTCATTTTAGAACTCGGTTTTTGATTCACGCTGAAAATGAACTAAAGCTGGTGATGAATAAGTAAAGATGAACTTAACAGCTGATAGCTGTGAATTTAACCAAAACAAATAATAAATTTTTGGATAAAAAAAACTAAAAATGAGGGCATTAACTACGTTTGCGGCTATTTTAGTAGAAAATGAGAGACTTGCAGAAGAAACCCTTAATAGAAGGATTCTGCGCGATCATTCCAATCCTTTAGATGTCTCTGAATTGGTGTAAGTACTTGGTGTTCGTTCTTAGTGGCAATTTTGTACAAAAAATTTAAATAGGTTCGTATCCAGCTACCGGGTCAACAAAAGTGCATTTAACATGTTATTGGACGTTGTTGTTCTGCATTTAAAAGAAACATCCATTCCGGCGCAACTGCAATTGGCGGCCACACTAAGGTTTTTGGCGGAAGGTGGCTTCCAAAAGGCTGTGGGAAAAGATAGTTATATTGCAATGGGTCGTAGTACGGTTGCAAAAGTAATTACACGCGTGCTAAAGATTTTAGAAAAATATATATGTTCCCGGTGGATAAATTTAAGCATGACCGAAGACGAGAAAACGAAATCGAAACAGCATTTTCATCAAAACTTTGGTATACCCGGATACCAAGCCGCATAAAGATTCCAGCCTATTTTACAACAGAAAAGATTATTTTAGCATCAATGCAATGATTGTAAGTGCTTATTTAACTTATTGACAAAAATTATGCTCGAATTAACTCAATTTTTTGAATATATTTTTGTAGATATGTGATTACAATATGGTAATCAGAGCACTTGACGCTCGTCGTCCTGGTTCAAGTCATGATGCTTTGATATGGAGTGTCAGCAGAGCTCATGATTACTTCAAACGCAATTACGATAACGGTGAACGCGGCTTGTGGCTTTTAGGTGATGCTGGGTACGCACTTCAACCTTTTTTGTTAACCCCATTTAGAGACCCAAATGTTGGGACACCACAGCACATATTTAATCTAAAGCATTCTTCAGCGCGTAATGTTGTAGAAAGAACAACAGGGGTTCTAAAAAGCCGATTTAGGTGCCTTTGTCGATCTCTACAATATCAACCTGAAAAGGTGGTGCAAATTACAAATGTTTGCTGTGCATTACATAATACCTGTAGACATTATAAAGAGCAGGAGTTAGTTGAGGCAGGCCCTATGGACGAGGATAATGAACCTGTTGTTGAAGGAATAATAAACGAAGCTACTCTTGATGGCGAGGCTATAATGATAAGGGAGGATATCGCGACGCGCCTATTCTCGAATTCATGAAAAATTTATTTGAATACTTAAAGTGATACAATTTCCTGAAAGTTTAAAGCGCCTTATTGAATAAAATGCTCATATTTATATTCACTTCAATAAAATGAAATGCAATTCACTATTTATTAAAATAAAGTTCAGATTCATATTTAAACCATAACATACATTAATATGTACATTGAAAAATATGTATCTACAGAAAATTATTTACAGAAAACTATTTACAGAAGACTACTTAAATAAAATTATTTACAGAAAATTTTTTAACTTAAAACAATTCACTTGAAACTATTCACTTGAAACTATTAACTTAAACATGTAATGCAAACTAAAATTTAATTCATTTCAGTAACTAAAGTTCATATTAGCTACTTCGTTTAGAATGGTTTTTTAAATACATCTTAAGTTCTTCTATTTCAATTTCCTTAAGTTTTAGCTTGTTTTCTTCTTGGCGTAGTCTTTCCATTTGAGCATGGTGACGCTTGTTTTCAACATTCCCTTCCACTAACGCAGCTGTCATTTGTTTAACGGCTTCAAAAAGGCTGCTAATGCCACTACTTACATTCTTTGTGGCCTCCACATTTTCTGTAAGTCCTTCTGCTAAGGAATTCATTGCATTTGTTTGCTCGCTAATGTTCGACTTTAGAGCATCAGTCACCATAGGTTCCCGTCGACGGGATCGCGCTGCTATAGCTGCACGGCTTGTGGATGGGACAGCATCTTCGTCGGAGCTTTCGGAGGTTGCCTCCTGGTTTCTTTCAGAAGACACACCAAAGACTTGTGTGCCTGAAATGCCCTCCACCACAGTGTAAATTCCGCACATTTGGGCTATAGCATCTTCTGTTGGTGTAAGGACATGCTTGTTGAATGGTCCTCCACCAGTTGCTCTGGCTTCCGAGTTATTGTGCGCTACTTTTTTCCTGATGAACGCCTTCCAATCCATCCAAACCTGTTATAATTCGATTACAAAATATTTTGTATAGCCAATTAGTATACTAGAGTTCACTCTTTGATGCGAAACTGTGTGCGTTTGAGCGAAAGTGGGAAAATCGACAGTTTTTTATAACAAACATATATCACCGTTATGGCGTCGTTTCGCACAAACGCACAGCAAAGCAACAAAACAAACGCTAATTTTTGCGTTTCGCATTTTTGCATCAAAAAGTGAACGTCTTCTTTATATTTTTTTACTTTTTTCCAGCCAGAAACATCCTTTTGGGGAGGACCATGCTCGTTCAGTTCGACGACTAACTCCTTCCACAGAGCGTCTACTTTCGTTTTGTCTCCCTTTACGTAGCCCCGTGCAATGTCCTTGTGGTCTTCCATAAATTTAAGAAGGACCGCCTCCTGTTTAGAATTCTTATGTTTTCCCCTGAAACCATTAATTTATGTAAAATTTGTTACTATATTATTCTTATTAGTTTTTTTATTAATATATCTCATTAATAATTTTAAATTTACTCACATCTTCGTCTCGATCACAACCGCTAATTCAAAATTTGTGTGTATGCATAAAATCCACAAACTTGAAACGAAGTGAATGAAATCCGAAGATTTTTTCGCGGATTCGTTTATCAGAACATCCAAATTCACTCGGAATTCATTTTGGAAAAAAATGTGGAAATGAAACTCGGAAAGTGAAACACAGAACACCAAATGTCGGATTCAAAGTGAATTTGGTTCAAATTCACTCGGAAGTGAATTGCAGAACCTGCCTGTATATTCTACTTAACTAAGCAATATATTAACTAAATAAATCTTTGGTATATTTTAAAATTTTTTAATTGAAGAATCCTACATGTCTATAGTATGTTATTATTATTATTATCAGGCAGGTTCTGCAATTCACTTTCGAGTGAATTTCAATCAAACTCGCTTTGAATTTAAATTGGCAGGGGTTGAAATTCACTCGGAAGAGAATTGCAGAACCTGCCCGTATATTATTATTATTATTATTATTATTATTATTCGGTTCAAAAAAGTCCTATCTCGAACGAAAATACATTGAAAATGTGCTGAGATAGGGCGTTTTTGAATCGTCAGCTGAGATAGGGTGTTTTTGAACCGAGTTCTGAGATGGGGCGTTTTTCATTGAAATTCTAAAATAGGGCGTTTTTCATCCAAATTTTGAAATAGGGCGCTGTTAAAAAATTTTCTGATATCGGGCGTTTTCGAACTGGCTGCAGAGATAGGTCGATTTTCCACTAAGCCATCGATATATATGTAGTCGCATTTTTCGTTATATGGAAGACGAATAAACACAATTTATTTTTATATCGATTCTAAAATATCTACGGTAATTTTTAGCCACTTCAACTTGCATATAATTAGAATAAAATTGAAGGGGCTATAAAACTGAGTGCTCAGAAAAGTTCTAACACTTCTGAGAAAAAAGTTTGAATTTTGGGTGAAAATTTGTTGTATTTTTTAGTAGTTTTCTACGAAGTTTTAAAATTGGGTTTATATGTATTTTGTTAGAAAATGAACTGTATTTTTATTGTAAATTCCTTGAAATAAATAAATAAAAATGAGGAAATAATATCACCTTGAAATGGGGTTGCTATTGATATGACCGATACTCATGAGCGTAGCCAGGTAGGGGCAGGGGGGTGCCCCCCCCCCCCCAAACTTTCAAATTTTCCTTATATATATATAAAAAAGTACCCTGAAAAACCCCCTTTTAAGGGGGGGGGCCCCCCCCCCCCCCCCCCCTAAATTTCATTCTGGCTACGCCGATGCCGATGCTGTATGTATATAGTAAATTTTGCACAATTAAAAATCAAAGTGGATTTACTAAAATGAACACAACGTATTAATTATAAATTCTGTAATATATCGTTAATTTCAAAAACAAATAAATAAAACAATAAAAAGTATTCAATGCTTGCTGTATGATACGAATTTGGATATACGTGAACTTGGGTAATGTATAATTCCTCATATGATTCCTCAAAGTATCCCTTATATAACACTGTGGAACACAAAAAAAACCTCTAGTGCGAATATATCAGGTTTGGTAGCTGTTGGCCATACCAATAACGCCTCATACTCAGATTTACTAGATCAATTCGTGTTCTCCGAGAAAAACAATTTTCCCGATCGAAAAATCTGAAAAATCTTTTTTCTCCAAATTTTGAACATTTATCATTTTATGGCCTATATTTTGTTGAAAATACAATACAAAGCAAATATAGGCCATAAAAACGAAGAATTACTAGATTTTAGAAAAGAATTTGGCCGCTATACTCAGATTTTTGAATCGTGAATTTTTTTTTCTCGAGAACACGAATTGATCTAGTAAAACTGAACATGAGGCATTATTGGTATGGTCAACAGCTATCAAACTTGATGTATGCGCACTAGAAGCCCATATAAAAGAGGGGGAAAAAAGATCATACGTAAATGAATTTCTCTATTTGGGATGTACAATGTAAGGGAAACATTTCAAATTCATAAGGGACACTTTTCTTAGTGATACGGCACATATAAGGAATTATAAGCCATACTGTTCTAGCTGGGTATTCATCAGCTCAAACATTTTATTATATTATCATATTCCTGTGAATGGAAACACGCCTAATTTGACTATTTTTATTATCTACAAATTTATGAGACTACCAGGCCATATATATGTTACCGGCCAAACCCGATAATAGGACAAACTAGTTTTACCTAGGCTAAACTAAATAAGGGGCATACAATTTAGTACTTTTTCAGCTAAACGGCTTTTTTTCTTGTACTTTGTTCAACGGTTTAGCGCCAGTGAGTCATTCGCAATTGCATGCTGCGAATACCGATTTATACTAAAGCCAATCTTTCGACATAAGCTACTTTTCCATACGAACACAGAGATGTACATCTTCTTCTTCTTTTTTGGCGCTGTAACCGCCTAAGCGATTTTGGCCGAGTTCAGCAAAGCACGCCAGTCGTTTCTCTTCTGTGCCAACTGAAGCCAAGTCCTTCTCCACCTGATCTTTCCATCGCAGTGGGGGCCTCCCTCTTCCTCTGCCACCACCAGCGGGTTCCGAGTTGAATACTTTCAGAGCTGGAGCGTCGGTGTCCATTCGAACGACATGGCCAAGCCAGCGGAGCCGCTGTATTTTAATTCATTGCACTATGTCCATGTCGTTGTAAAGCTCATACAGCTCATCGTTCCATCGTCTGCGGTACTCGCCGCCGCCAACGCGTAAAGGTCCGTAAATCTTCCGCAAAATAACGCAACAGAAGCTCGATTGCTATCGATAATCGACCCACTAAATAGAAGTCGTAAGGTCATCTATAATTTGCTAAAAGACCCTAAAAATTATGGGCAGAATCGTGGTGGTGGCAGATCAAAAGCAGTATCTCATAGAGAAAAGCGAGCTATTTTGCGTGATGCGTCTAATTGTCATCTAACTGCCAGGAAAGCAGGTGTCAAAACAAACATAAGGAATGTCCATAGAATTTAAAAAAACTGTCAGCACATTAACCATAAAAAATTACAGCGTAAACCACCCCTTACCGCAGTACATAACACAGCACGATTAAGTTTTGCAGAAACTCGTTTAAGGGCCGGTTACTCAATGTCTGGTTAACACTAATCTACGGTTAAACATCGTTACCGACGTCTTCGACTCCATGCATATAACAGGGAGTCGGTAACGTCGATAACGATGTTTAACCGCATATTAGTGTTAACCAGACATTGAGTAACCGGCCCTAAGTTGGAAAAAACGTTGTCGTCAGGTACTTTTTACGGACAAAAAAAAGTTCAACCTTGACGGCCCAGATGGTTGGGCATATTATTATCACCTCAGGAAAGATGAACACATTTTAAGCCGCCGTCAGCATGGAGGGGGTAGTGTGATGATGTGGGCAGGAATTGGTTATCGCGGAAAAACTGAAATCAAGTTTGATTCACCCTAAGATGAAAAGTGTAGACTACTTAAATTTAGTTGGAAATGAAGTATTTAGTACTACGAGGACAGCAGTATACTAGAGGGAATATGATATTTCAGCAGGATAATGCTGCCGTTCATACAGCGAAAAAAATAGTAAAGGACTTTTTCCGGGACAAAAGCATAAATATTTTAGAGTGGCCAGCGCGTTCCCCTGATCTGAATATCATCGAAAACTGTTGGGGCTATTTAGCCAGAGAGGTGTATGCAGGAAATCGCCAGTATGAGTCCGTAGCAGAACTTAAAACAAGTATATTAGCCCACTGGGAGGCCCTTCCTAAAAAATGTATTAAAGAACTATTCAAATCGTTGCCAAAACGAATGGGTGAAGTCGTCAAGAAAAACGGAGGCTGTACTTATTATTAACACATTATCATTCCTTGGTTTGATTATAATACTCAGGAGGATTTCAGTTAACAAACATTTTGTGCTATCGTTTTGTCGTGCTATATAATGAAGTTTTTAGTAAAATTACGTTTTTAATAAAATTTGTATAAAATATTTATTTTCTATTGTTTTTTGGCATTATACTAAGAAATAAATTGTAATTTTTCACTGAAGTTCTTTAACATGCACAAAACTTCATTGTGCTACCGTTCTGTCACGGTCTGTATTATAAAAAAAATTAAATAACCAAAAATATGTGAACTATTTTCCAGCGACCTGTTTTTTTATGACCAGTTTCATTTCCCAAAGTAAAATGTTTTCTATTCTTACGCAGAAAATTGTTTGTATAAATTTTTAAATTTCCAAACAAATGTATGCGTATAGAAAACTTGCTACTTCATATGTATGATCGCCTCGTATTGGGAAATGAAAATATCGTTTTGTAAAATTAACAATTGGTTCGTTGGTTTCTTTATACAAATATGCTGCTGGCTCCATATTCGGAGCGCCCTACATTGTTTCTAGTAGGGGAGCCCATGATGCTAAATCGGGATTTACTCGAGCGTTATTTCGACCTATTTGATTTTGAAGATGATATGACGGGAAGAAAAAAAGGTCATGTGATGTTTTTCCATCCAGCGGTGGGTACAGGATCTACAGGCTTCCAAAAATGTAAAAAAAAAACAGTTACATGGATTTACTCGAGCGCGTCAGATATCAGGTGTGTATAGTAACAAATAGTCAGTACTAATTTGTACTGGAACCTGCAAATTTTTACTAGCAAAGTGTATAATATCCCAGAAAATTTGCAAGAGAGCACTGAATCGAGAGCGTAACAACACGGGAGAGCTTCAATTCTTGCTAGTGAAATTTTTACTGGCAGAAATAGCTAGCCGCCATTTGTTGAAATGGTTTAGCACAAACAAAAGTAAAATGAGTGGAAATCAAAATATTAATGATGTACTGGACTGTGTAAGTGCTTGTGTGTGAAGCAAAAAGTTT